AGCGTCCGACTTTCGCTTAGGTCATGATCTCGCGGTTCGTGGCTTCGAGCCCCGCGTCGGGCTCTGTGCTGACTGCCAGCTCAGAGCCTGGAGCCTGTTTCAGTCTGTGACTCCCTCTCTCTCTGACCCTCCCCTGCTCATGCTGTCTCTCTCTCTCTCCTAGAAATAAATAAAAAACATTTAAAAATTTAAAAAAAATAATAAAAAATAAAAAAATAAATGTACAAAAAAAATTTTTTTTTAATTTCACAAACTTTCAAAAAGTAACTCACATGCTTTTAACAGTGTCTAAGTTTAGTTTCAACTCACATTTCTTTTATTTTGGGTAAGATTTAGATTTCTTTTTACTACATTAAATACTCTTTTATATCACCTTAGGATAAACAGTCAACTTCCAACTTTTGCCGAATTTTCTAAAGGACAATTATTATTATTTTTAATGTTTATTTTTGGGAGACAGAGAGAAAGAGAATATGAGCAGGGGAGGAGCAGAGAGACAGACAGAATCTGAAGCATGCTCCAGGCTCTGAGCTGTCTGCACAGACCTGATGTGTGGCTTGAACTCACGAACTGTGAGATCATGACCTGAGCCATCCAGGCATCCTGGCAATTTTTTTGTGTGTGTAGGAGTTAAAAATATTTTTTTGGATTGTTGATCTTCTGATTTTGCTTACAGCAGTTTCTGCTTTGCAGGTATTATTTATTTTTATATAATCACATTTATTCCTTTATTCTTTAATGGTTTCAGGGGTTTATAGGAAGAGGGTCTTTGCCCTCTCAAGTTAAAAAAGAAATCTCCATAGTTCCATCTAGTTCTATTATGGCTCTAGATAGATAGATAGGTAGATGATGATAGATAGATAGATAGATAGATAAGATAAGATAAGATAGATAATTTAAATCTTTAATAATTTCAAATTTACCTAGAAGGGGAGCAAGAGGTATAGGTTCAACTTTTTCTTCCAAGTGACTTTTCAGTTGTATCAATATTTGCTACTGAATAATCCATCTTTTCTCACTAATTTGGGATGATTCATATTTAGCTCAAGTTCTATATTTTTAACTGTTTCACGAAACATTTTCTATTCCTGTGACACTGCCATATTTCATTATTTTAATTTTATAATCTTTAAACACTGAATAGAACTAGCCCCTTATTCATTACTTTACTCTCCAGAATTTATAGATTAAATTAGTTAAAACTGACATCTGTATAAAGGTGAGCCAGTCCATCCAGGAACATGCTGTATCTTGCCATTTACATAAATCTTCCCTGGGTCTTAAGGGCATGTTTAGTTCTTATTCATATAGTTCTTGTACCTGTCTTATCTTGTTAAGTTTATTCCTAAATATTTTCTCTATTTTGTTGCAACTGTAAATAGGGTCCTTCCTTCTATTAAATCTTTGAATTTATTTTTTAATATATGAAGGGTATTGATATTAATTGGCTTCCTGAACAAAATGTTGGATTGATTTTGTAGGTATGGTACCTTTTCAGTTGACTTTCTCAAGTTTTCAAGAATTACAGTTTGATCATCTACAACTCCTTTTGAATTTCTGTATCTCAAATCTTTTACTCTGATCTAGTTGTGTTAGCTAGAATTTCCAAACAATAATAACTAAAGTGGTCAAAGCAGATATGTTTGTCCATCTAATGACTTTATTGGGAGTGTTTCTGGTAATTTTTAAAAATTATCTTTTAAGTATAATACTAATTATTTTAAGTTGAGGGAGGTATTTTGTATGTTAAGGAAATACCTATCTGTTCCTTTTTGACCATGAATCAAAAATAAATGTCAAATTTTAACATATGTCCACTTAACATACCTAAATTTGACTATATTTTCTCCTTAAATCTTCTAATATAGTAAGTTATATTAATAGATTTCCTAATATTGAATTTAAAGATCTAATCTTTATATTTATTCCTAGAATAATCCCCATTTGATCAATGAGCACTTTCTCTTAATAAGCTGCTGGATTCTGTTCGCTAATGTTTTATTTAGGATTTTTGTATCATAAAACATAAGTAAATTGGTCTACAATTTCCTCACTAGTGCATTCTTTGCTAGATTTTGCTCTGAGAACTCTGATAACTGTTAAGTGTTAGGTAAATGCAATTATCATTGTAACACATGTCCATGGTTTAAAACACCCACCAATAAGTGTCTTGGCTTTTCACTGCATCTCTTTATCCAACAGACAAAAATTTTCACCAGTGATTTTGTTAAATGAGACACATGTGAGTATATATATGAAAATATTTTCTCTTTCCAAATTCTGTGGGGAATATGCTTGAGATAATTCATTAGAAGATGAGAGCAACCTCTGTCGATCACTGTTTCCTGGATATGATTCTCATTAACTGTCATGTTGAGCATTTAGATTTTGTTGACTATTTCTGTTACTATCTTTCAGTTATGGAAAAAACGTCTACAGATGCATTTCCTTTTACTATGAATTCTTCAGAAAAGCAAGAGACTGTATGTATTTTTGGAACTGGAGACTTTGGAAGATCACTGGCACTTAAAATGCTCCAGTGTGGTTATTCTATTGTTTTTGGAAGCAGAAACCCCCAGAAATCCAGCCTGCTGCCCAACGGTGCAGAGGTCTTCAGCTATTCAGAAGCGGCCCAGAAATCGGACATCATCATCATAGCAGTTCACAGAGAGCATTATGGTTTTCTCACAAAACTAACTGACGTGCTCAAAGGGAAAATACTGGTCGACATCAGCAATAACCTCAAAATCAATCAGTATCCAGAATCTAATGCAGAGTACCTTGCTCAGCTGGTGCCAGGCACTCACGTAGTGAAAGCATTTAACACCATCTCAGCCTGGGCTCTCCAGTCCGGAGCACTGGATGCAAATCGGCAGGTGAGATTAAATGATTAATTTACAAAAAATAAAAATAAAAAAAAATAAATGATTAATTTACATTCAATCTTTAAAAAAGTAAATATTTTAATGTGCATTTACCTCAAAGATGCCAAAATATAATTACAAAACAAAATACCCACTAAACACTTTAATTTGCTAATATGTGCCATGGATAATTTTCTAGGGTTTAACCAGTCAATTGTTGTGATTTATTTCCCACTGTCAGCACCCTCAGCTTTGAGTTGGATGGAAGCCAATGGTGTCAGTCTCCAGAGGCCTCTTATAAATACTAAAAAGTAACACAGTTAAATTGTTGATGGATATCCTTTCCATTCCCATCACACTGTATGAAACTGGTTCCATTTATTCAGAGATTAAAAGTAATCCCAAAGTGATGTAGTACCCATGAATACAGAAGAAAAATCAAACTATCACCCTATGGAGAACCAAGTCCTATTGTGTTTGTGTGATATGCTTAAAACCACTCTCAATTTCAACTCTGGTACTTAACTATCCAGTGTGCATGTGCAAGTTGAAAACATGTTGCTTCTATATCCTTGTTTGAAAAGCAGTTCACTACTGTATGTCCTTGCTCTGCACTGTGCTTACATAGACTTTCAAAGTAATTATTAAACAAAGAATAAGTACAAAATTAATTATTCTTAACCCAGGTGTTCATATGTGGAAATGACAGCAAAGCCAAGCAAAAAGTGATGGATATCGTTCATACTCTTGGACTTACTCCACTGGATCGAGGATCTCTCACGGCAGCCAAAGAAATTGAAAACTACCCCCTGCAACTATTTCCAATGTGGAAGTTCCCCTTCTATTTGTCTGCTTTTCTGTGTGTCTTCTTCTTTTTCTACTGTGTTATAAGAGATATAATCTATCCCTATGTTAATGGTAGGAAAGACAGGTCATTTCGCCTGGCTATTTCCATTCCAAATCGTATCTTTCCAATAGCAGCACTTACACTACTTGCCTTGGTTTACCTCCCTGGTGTTATTGCTGCCATTCTGCAACTGTACCGAGGTACAAAATACCGCCGATTCCCAGACTGGCTTGACCATTGGATGCTTTGCAGAAAGCAGCTGGGCTTGATGGCACTGGGATTTGCCTTCCTTCACGTCCTCTACACACTTGTGATTCCTATTCGTTATTATGTACGATGGACACTGAAAAACAGAACCATTACCCAGGTAAATCTCTACTCATTTGTATTCTCTGGTTCCTTAAACAAAGGGAAATCTTGCTACATCATATTCCATTTCACAATTATAAAAAATCACTTTTCTAACCATCTTTTTTTCTTTAACGTTTGTTTGTTTGTTTATTTATTTATTTATTTATTTATTTATTTTGAGAAAGGGGGCAGGGGCAGAGACAGAGAATTCCAAGCAGGCTCTGCGCTGTCAATACAGAGTCTGATGCAGGACTGGAACTCACGAACTGTGAGACCATGAACTGAGTGAAACCAAGAGTCAGACGGTTAACCATCTGAGTTATGCAGGTGCCCCAAACCATCTTTATTTTTTTTTAAAAATGTAGACTATAGCTCTTGTTTCTTTGGGGTTTTCTTTGTTTTCATTTGGGGTTTTTTGAGTCTGGGTTTTAGGTTTTTTTTTTTAAATGAATTCAGTTGAGATCTCATAAAACTAGTGAGAATAAAAGTTAGATTCCCCAGTTCACTTGGGTGCAGATGTGTACTCTCAGGATTCACTGGGATACTGGCAAACTGACAGATTTGGAGGCTCAGGAAAACTAATAACACTTACTTGAATTTCTTAGGGAAGGAGAGGAGTCAATGAATGTAAACCAATATGTTTTCAAGCTTCTTTTGTGCATGCTTCTTCCTTTTGGAAGTCAAAAACAACCATCTTATAAAAATAAGGGGGCTGTTCAAACCTCTGCCACAGTAAGGTAAACAAATTCACAAAAGGGTGCTTATAACTCCATTAGTATTTGACTTGCAGAAAGCCTTCCTCAAAAACTAGAAAACTAAACAATTTAGAGCAAATGTCAAATACTATTTTCTGCATAGTGAACAATTCAGAGAGAATCAGCTCAGAGAATCATAAAATGATCCTAGAGGAAGTGCCATCCATCCGTTCTAGTTTGGAAATAATTGGTTTTGATCAATCTTACTGCAGTCTCAAAGTTTCTAAGTTAATAACTCATTGATGGTACTTCTGTGGATTTCTCTACATTATTTTTCAAACAAATACATGGGAGATTCTTGGACAATAGTCCCATTTAAAGGGTCTGGATTTTCTCAGTCTGTGGTGTGACAGACTTGATGCTATATATTGACATAATAAACGTGAAAGAACCCAAACTGTGTGTGTGAATAATCAACATATAAAGCTGAAGAACAGAATCCAGATATAATCATTTGAGAACATCAAGTTTTGCTTGGAGAACAAGAAGCCATATGGTATAGAAGGTTTAAGTAAATGTTTACTTTGTTTTAGAATTTATAGGGTCAATTAAAACTTTCTACACAACTCCTAGAGTCAACTATTATATTAAAGTCTTACCAGAACCAATTACTTTTTCTACCAAGAAATATCATTTCCAAGTGTATATTTCTCTATAGTTATTTTCAAGTGGTTATTAAGGAATACATATGATTTGTCCTGAGCAAATATACTATGCAGAGGTATTTTTCAATCCCCTTAAAAGTTTGGGCAGTTTGTAAAAAATATGTAATTTTTAAAAATTGCTTATAATTTTTCTTAGGCAACAGCAAACAGAGAAGATCCATTTAGCACCTCTACTGCCTGGCTTAATGATTCATATATAGCTTTGGGAATCCTAGGATTTTTCCTGTTTGTACTCTTAGGAATCACTTCCTTGCCATCCGTGAGCAACATGGTCAACTGGAGAGAGTTCCGATTTGTCCAGGTAAGAACTTCAAGATTTGTTTGTTTTTTAAACATTTATTTATTTTTGAGAGACAGAGAGACACAGCATGAGCAGGGGATGGGCAGAGAGAGGGAGACACAGAATCTGAAGCAGGCTCCAGGCGCTTAGTTGTCAGCACAGAGCCTGATGTGGCGCTTGAACTCATAAACCGTGAAATTATGACTTGTGCCAAAGTCGACACTTAACCGACTGAGCCACCCAGGTGCCCCAAGGACTTCAAGATTTAATCTGCTTTATATTGCAAAATAAGTCTGACTTAATAAATATTTTCATTTTTCTCTCATACTATGTACAGACTTTCATTATGCTCCTTCACTTCCCTAGCAGTGTTACAAAAATAGCAAGTAAAACAAATGTTAAACTCTGGTACCAAAAGGCATACCATATTAGTTTCATTTCCTACCTGGGCATTACTTGTCAAGATTGGTGACTTGTCAAGATTTACTAGAGTAAAAGGCAGTAACTATTAAACTTTGTGTGTAGGAATATGCTAGACACAAGGTGAAAAGAAACCCAAAGACAAAATTCCTATTTCTAAATAACTGCCTTATAATATGGACATATTGATACAAAAAATCATATATTAAACTCAACTTTAAAACCATCAGAGAAAGGTTTGTTAGATTGTTATACCAGACTCAGTGCTGGTCTCTACGAGGGAAAATTGGTTTTGCCCACATACCAACCACCAGACACCTCACTAAAAGCAGTTAGTTACTATTCTTATAGACCAGTAGTCCTCAAAGTGTGCTACCTAGAACCTCAGCATCACCTGGGATCTTACTAGAGACACAAGTCCCCGGGCTCCACACAGACCAAATGGACCAGTAACTCTGGAGGTGTGGCCCAGCAATGTGTTTTAACAAGCCTTCTAGATTCTTCTGATGCATGCTCATTGTTAACCAATATAAAAGAAAAGACCATTAGTAACTAGAATTAGATTAGAATTTTATCAAACTATTTGAATTTCTGACAGTCTTGCAGTTTCTCCCAAAGAACAAATGCAGTCAGCATTTTCTCATGGTAATACCTTCAGTCAAAGCATTAAGACAGAAATAAACATTGAGCTTTAGAATTTAGGCCAAAACAAACAAACAAAAGTAAAGTTTGCTAATTGTTCTTTATTGCAATAGAAATTAGTTAGCATCTGCCTTTAGTCTGTAACATAAACTAATGTGGTGCTTCTTGAGGACATACTGTCTTATTCATCTCTGGCCTCCAGAAGAGTTGATCAAGGAAAGAGTTTCACCATTGGGGAAGAAACCACAGTATATTATTTATTCTAACTCAAAAGAGTTTTTCTCCTGGCAAACTTTCCCATCCAGCCATGTTAAGATGAAACCACCACTTAATCCCCTTCCTCTATTTCACCCATCCCAGGAATGAAAGGTATGGGGAATATAGTCAATAATATTGTAATAACATAGCATGGTGACAGCTGGTGCTATGCTTGTCATGGTGAGCAGTACAAAACATAAGGAACTGTCAAATCAGTATGTTGTATACCTGAAATGAATACAACATTGTATGCCAACTATACTTCAAGAATAAATTTAAAAAAAAAAAAAAGGCTGAAACTGGGGCGCCTGGGTGGCTCAGTTGGATAAGCATCTGACTTCAGCTCAGGTCATGATCTCGTGGTTTGTGGGTTTGAGTCCTGTGTTGGGCTCTGTGCTGACAGCTCAGAGCCTGGATCCTGCTTTGGATCTTTGGATTCTCTCAAAAATAAACACTAAATTTAAAAAAAAATTAAAAAGGATGAAATCACCATATCATTTGTAAGCACAACCTTTTTAAAATGGAATATTTATCAACCTGAAGGAGGGTTAATGTTTTCTCCAGTACTTAGCAGAGTGTTGTTCTAAATATTATAGATGTCAAAGGTTTATGGTTGTTAATAAATATCCTGCATTGGCTTAGAGTGTGTTTCATTTTAAAATGTAAATATAGTGTTAATGTACATATTTTTTTCTTGCTTATATAGTCCAAACTGGGTTATTTGACCCTGATCTTGTGCACAGCCCACACCATGGTGTATGGTGGCAAGAGATTCCTCAGTCCTTCGAGTGTCATATGGTGCCTTCCTTCAGCCTACGTGATAGCACTCATCATTCCCTGCATCGTGCTGGTGATCAAGTTCATCCTCATCTTACCATGTATAGACAAGACCCTTACACGGATCCGCCAGGGCTGGGAGAGGGATGCGAAACCGACATTGAATGGAGAAAGATATTTAAAGCAAAGTTCAGTCCATCTGGACTCTGAACTGTAGTAGTGTATGTTTATTTAGAGAAGACTATATAATGGGCACAGTTAAGAGAGCATTTTTCTCCCACCATGACCTGAAATTTGTTAACAGAGAAAGAACGGTTGCCAGACTTTGAGAACTTGACAGATAGGAACAGAACACCACTAAATCTCAGGTTAGTGATGAATCTGTGTAGGTCTCTGCCTCTCTTTTTCCCAGAGGCAGCAAGGCTGAGGTCACGGTTAGCTTTGTGGTTTCACACTAAAAAGTTGTTTCGCCATGGGCAACGTGCATGACCGAATGTCTTGCAAAATCCAGGGGAAGTACAGCAATTTCTTTCTCTCGGTCAAGGGCTGAGTGGAATGAAAAAGAAAACAGTAAGATGGTGGCCACTGATAAAGGCTTTCTGAGGTATGTCTGAAAAGGAGGACCTAATGAAGTGAAAGGAATGAGAATTTTTCTTATTGTTCTTTGTTAAGTGAAAGTGGTCATAAATATTGCCACAGTGAATTCTGTAGTTAAGCGTCCTCTTTGATTTTGCTTTTGCCAACATGGGTGTGGAGAACTATTTTACAACACAATAAAAATATCACAATTGATTGGAAATAACCATGGATTGGATATATACAAGTCTATTACTGTTGTTGTAAGATCCTTCCTTTAAAAGGAATAAATATAGGGAAGATTGAGTTACAACTGAGAGATATCCACTTGGATTTTCTCAGTGTACAATAAGCAAGGAAGGGCCGAGAAAAACCCTTGCACAAAAAGTTCAAATAAACCAGAATTTTAGACAGCAAGCTACATAAATTTTGTATAGCTGCACCATACTAGGTGTGTATGATTTAGACACTGTGATATGCTTTGTGAATAGTATATTCCAAATATTGGTCAATACTAATCATCTATTTGTATAAAGTATACTTTCTAGTATAAAATAGTGTCTTCTCTAATTCTCAAGACTTATTATAATTTTAAGCAGTGAAATTAAATGAATAATGAAAGTATACTTTTGACCAATGCATAGATGATAGAGAAGGTGTGAATAGTAGCTGGAATATGAGGCTTGGTTCTTTCTCAAACCTTTGCTGGAATGTAGATGGTTCGCTCTATGTTTCCTGTGCTGATAGGACCATTTCCAAGATGACTTTCAGCAGGATTAGCCTTCCTGGCTCATGAATGAAGCTCAAAGGAGCCTTAGGCACCTTCTTCCCACAAACTGAAATAACCAAAAGGCTTTGGGTTTGATGTTTTTCTGCCTGCTCCATAAAGACCACCTATTTTTCTTTTTTTTTTTAACTTTTATTATCATATACTCTACATGATGCAAAATGATTAAAACATGTTAAAACATCACCCACCATCCAGGACATTTTTCTATGAAACTTTTTGAAAACAGTTTCATCTATACTATATATTCAATTTTACATACTCTCCTTTTTACTTACTATATCAGTGGTTTTGTTCTCTGACTTACATGGTATATGTATATTATTAGTGGCTACATAATATTACATGGGCATTTATTTAACCACTGCACTAACTAAACACGTAGGTTATATCTGTTTTTTGTTAAAACAAGTAACATTTCAGAATAACTTAGCACTTATAACTTTTTTCCATACTTTAAATTATTTCCTTGGAATACTTGCCAAAAATTGGGATTATGAAATTAAAGAACTTTTTAAAAATGTTTATTTATTTTTGAGAGAGAAAGAGAGCGTGCATGCGCATGCCTGAATGGGGGTGAGGCAGGAAGAGAGGGAGACATAGATTCCGAAACAGGCTCCAAGCTCTGAGCTGTCAGCATAGAGCCCAATGTGGGGCTTCCACCCACAAACCACGAGATCATGACCCCAGTGGAAGTCAGACACTCAAACAACTGAGTCACCCAGGCGCTGCATGAAGCTAAGGAACTTTTAATAGCATTTGCTATGTATTGCCAAACCATTTCTAAATTGACCTTGTCAATATGATTGTCATTGGATGAAGGTGGTGTTATCATACCCTTTATAGAGTTTGTGTGTTTTCATTTTTTTAATGTTTATTTATTTTTGAGAGAGAGAGAGAGACAAAGTGTGAGTGGTGGAGGGGCAGAAATAGAGAGAGAGACACGGAGTCTGAAGCAGGCTCCAGGCTCTGAGCTGTCAACACAGAGCGGAATGTGGGGCTCGAACCCACAAACTGTGAGTTCATGACCTGAGCCAAAGTCAGATGCTTAACTAAGCCACACAGGTACTCCAGATTTTGTTTTTTATATCAGTTTGTGTTCCCTGAGAAGGTACACAGAATACATGCTCTAATTTATCTTTGATTCACCCAAGCAAGGTTCCAAAACATTCTGGAAAACTGTGAGCACAGCTGAGGTGTGTGGCACTGACCCCAGAGCATCAGTGGGAAAGACAGGGAAAATGTCACTACTCATCTACTCTGTTTTGTGCAAAACAGCTGAGTGTTCTAGAGTTGGAGCCTGCCCTTTGTCTAGAGAATGGGTGCTTTAAAATTAAATACTATCCAGGCTGATACAGAGAAACCTTCTGGAGTTAACCATGCTTTCTGGTAAAGAACTAATATGTTTTTACTGGATCATAGTTAATCACTAAAAATAGAAAATGATACACCTAGGTTAAAAAAAAAAAAGCAAGGCTGCCTGGAGTAAAACTCGACTTTTATAACCTAGTAAAAATGTTCTACCTACGTAGTTAATAAAGGCCATCCATGAAGCCCGAAGTTAAAGAACACCTCCAGTGATTTTGGTGTGCACTGCTAGGCCTGACTGACCCTCAGCCTCAACCACAAGGGCCCCCAGCCCCACCGGTAGACCAGAGAAGCCAACTTCCTCCCTCTCAACATCCCTCCTCCCCAAACCATCAAACCAACTTGGCCATCCTAACACAGCTGACTCCTCCAGTTCACCTAGGGTTGGAAAAAGTGAGTTTGGAACAGACGAAAGCAGCAAACTATATTCCTTTTTAACAGGACCGGACCATTATGCATAAAAAAGTTAGACAAAACTTCACTGTATTCTGGAACAATTTTTATTGAGCTCATAGACCTTTTGTTTTTGTGTGTCTGCCCCATGTTACGGGATGACTGCTTTTGTAAATTTGTATTCATTAAATGTTATTTGAAAAATACATTCCAGCTCTAATTCTGATTGTGACTCATTAGCATTCAAAAAAAAAAGAAAGAAAAGGTTGAAAGGTTTTAAATCACGGTATTTCTGGTAAATGGAAGGAAAAATACCTCCCTTCAGGCATAAGGAAAAGGAGTGACAGGACATGGGCTTTAAAGCACATTAACAGATTTACAGCTTTGTGCAATGTATGCTTGAGCTCATCAGTGGGTGTTCTCCAAATCCTATGCATTTCAATTTTACCCTCAGAGAGAGAAGAGCATCAGCTGGCCAAACAGGATTAGGGGTATATTATCCCACACTGGACTTCAGTGAGAAGTCTCTGTCCCCATAACCACCATCCACACCACCCACCCATTACACGTTCACACACCAAACATACCCTTGCATGATCCTACTCCAGTTCTCTGTAATGAGTAAGAATTACAATGTAGAAAAATCCTCTACTCTTCTAAAGGTTTGTTCCATAGAATTTAGGAAAAGAGAGCTTTCATTACTCTTCTATGCACGGCCTTTCCTCAAGCTCAAGCCAAAGCTGAGAGCTCCGGGCCAAGATGGCAACCTGGGAGTCCCCTGAACTCCCTCCCTCCCTCAGACACAACAAACCTGTAGCTACACACACTGCAACTCCATCTGAAAGCCCCTGAACTCTCAGATAAGAGGAAGTAAGAAGAAGATTACAGTGAGGAGGAGCAGGATCAAGGGTGAAAGGGAAAGGACTGGGGATTAGAGAAAAGGGGACTGTGGCTGAGCAGGACAGTTCATCCCTGACCTGGCCCAAAAAGACAGAAGCATCCATGTTTCCAGCCACAAAGGAACCCTGCAAGGCTTTTAATAATGTTTGTTGCCTAATTCTGCGGGTAAAGCCTATGCTAAACACTTCACATGCATTATCTTACTTAATCCTCATACCAATTCTCTGAAGGATTCATATTATCCCCATTTCTCAGAAGAAAAAAATGAGGCTTAAATATTGAGTGCCTTGCCAGATAGGAGGCAGAGGTGGAATTCGAACTGGAGGCAATGTGCCAAGACTGAGAAGGCCAGTCTCTTTTAACACCACAGTATAATGGAGGACACTCATGCCTCATGCCGTCCTCCAAAACATTCCTTCGAATCCATATATCAGGCTGGATGGACTGAACCCCTGGCAACTCTTTTTTGAAATATTATTTAAAGAAGAGGCTCATTAGTGCTTTCAATATTCCTGATTGACCATCTTCAACACTCCACATTTGCCTAGTGTTGATTTTAGTACACCCTATAAGATTGTAGTGACCAGCCATGGAAGTTTCAACACTGAGTTCAGCTTTGTTGCAAGTGTCATGTTAATCTTCCAGCTCTAGTCTGATGACAAGCTGGCCCAAGCCTCAGAGGAAGCGTGGTTCAGCTGGAGGCAGGCAAAACCCCTGGTCTGAGGACTCAGAGGAGTAGCCAAGAACTGCAGAGGTCTTCTCCAGATGCGCAAACACAAACGTTTTCTTTCTCTCTGGTTTCACCTCAGTGCTTTATGCAGTGAGTAAACTTATTTGTTCTTGAGGTCCAGTGACTCACCTAGGAAATCTTTTAACACTTTTCACTTAGTATTTTAATGCCAGTTGAGAAACTTAAGGGTTGAAAAAAAAATTCCATACCATTACCCAGTTACCAGTTTCTCAGTTTTGTAAATTACAAAGAGTCACTGGAATAGAACTCACAATATACCAAAGACTATCAGAATAGGATAAACTAGAACTAAACTTTCCCCTATAATTTTTATGTTTATTTATTTATTTTTGTGAAAGGGAGAGAGAGCACAAGTAGGGGAGTGGCAGAGACACACAGAACATGAAGCAGGCTCCAGGCTCTGCACTATCAGCACAGAGCCTGACATGGGGCTTGAACCAACGAACCATGAGATCATGACCTGAGCTGAAGTCAGATGCTTAACCAACTGAGCCACCCAGGCGCCCCTCCTCTATAATCTTTAGACAGTCAACAGGTTTTAAAGAACACAATCAGCATATTAGTTCCAT